AAAAATGGCCTTTCCCTCATGAAGGACTGTTTTGAATATGGAACCCCTGAAACATTGCCATTTCTCATAGCACATGCTTTTATCACTGTGGTTTCTAATGTAAGTAGTTAGTTAAGTTTTTGCAATGTGTTTAATCATGAATATAATAAATGTAGACAAAACTTTGTCTCATGATAAGAGGCTTTACTATGCTAACTAGTTCCATTTCTAGCAGCCACAGTCTGAAGCAGTTGCCTGTGGTAAATGTCTGATTCTCTTTTCTGGTAACACTAATTTAACTTTGAAGTCATAAAATTATCGTCTTTTATAATTGGGAATTTTGTTATTGTTAACTACGGTCCTTTGCAGACTGCCAGAAATAGTGCAATTGAGGCCACTTTAACTGCTCTGACTCAGCGCTAGGGAATCATGGGAACTGTAGTTTATTGTGGCACCAGAGGTCTCTGACAGAGAAGGCTCAATGTCTCAGAAAAAATAAAATTCCCATGATTCCCTAGCATGGAGCCAGGACAGTTAAAGTGGACTCAATTTGCACTATTTCTGGCAGTCTGCAAAGGCCCTATCTTTGAGTTGATTTTGACTCATGGCAACCCTATGGATGAAGCATCTCCAAGACTCCCTGACTTCCATTGCTCTGCTTAGATCCTGCAACTTCAGACCCATGGCCTCACTAATTGAATCTGTCCATCTAATGCCCTCTACTTTCTTAGCGTTATTCTCTTTTCTAATGAATCTTGCCTTCTCATGATGTGGCCAAAGTACGACAGTTTGATCATCTTAGCTTCCAAGGAGATTTCAGGTTTGATCTGTTCAAAGACCTGCTTGTCTTTTTGACTGTCCAAGATATGTTCAGCACTCTTCTGCAGCAGCACATCTCAAATGAATTTAATTTTTACTTGCCTGTCCAGCTCTTGCATTTGTACATTGTGATGGGGAATACAATGGATCGGGCAATTTTAACTTCATTGCTCAGTTGTATATCTTTGCTTTTTAGGATCTTGTCTAGTTCTTTCATCACTGTCATTCCCCTTCTTAGTCTTCTGATTTCTTGACTGCAGTCTCCTTCCTAATAGATGATCCTGTGGGGTTGCAATTTTAGTTCCCAGGGTGTTAACCCTTTTAAAGGTAAACTAAAGTATGCAGGTATGAAAGTTAAACATGTTAGAGTTTACTTTCATCAGCGGAGCAGCAAAAACATGGGTTATACACTTCCTAAAGAATAAAGATTGACAGCCTTTTCAGACTGCCAGAAATAGTGCACTTTAAATTGAGGCACTGCCCTGGCTCAGTGCTAGGGAATCATGGGAACTGTATTTTATTGTGGCACCAGAGCTCTCTGTCAGAGAAGGCTCAATGTCTCAGAAAAAAATTGCAATTCCCATGATTCCCTAGCACTGAGCCAGGTCAGTGCCTCAATTTAAAGTGCACTATTTCTGGCAGTCTGCAAAGGCCCTAACTCAGGGACTGGCAACCTACGGCCCAGGGGTTGGTTAAGGCCCCAGTCCCCGGACTTACCGGCCCAGGCCAAAGGTTGCCGCCGGCGCATTTTTGCCGCTCTGTGGCCGTGCTCGCCACGATCGCCATTTTGGAAATCAAGATGGCGGTTGCGACGCGTTCGCGCATGCGCAATACTCTTGCGCATGCGCAAGCGCGTCGCAGCCGCGATTTGGACTTCCAAAACGGCGGCCGCGACATGCGCTGTTGCGGCGGCGGCGGCGGCGGCAGCTGTAGTAATGGCTGCGCTGGCAGCGTGCGCGCCGCCATTTCCCCCCCCTTCGGCCCAGCCGAGACCTGGGCTACAGGAGACAGGTTGCCTGTCCCTGCCTTAACTCAACTCAAAGACAAACATGTAGTTTGTGGTTAATAAATGGCTTTAATAATTAATATTAAATAATATACAGTGGTACCTCTACTTACGAAATTAATCCGTTCCACAG